CTTTGCCAGACCCCTATCTTAAAATAACAGGTCTGGGAATGTAGCTCAGTGCGAATGAGCTTGTCTAGCATAGTACAAGACCTTGATTTTGATCCCCAGCATGGCAACAACTCCCAAACCTCCCAAATGACCCAACAACAAAACAAAAACACCTCCCTGAGGAGCTCACTATTTAAGGGGCCCTTACAGCAGATCCTAAGTTGTTTCCTTTGTCCAACCTTATCCTTTGTAAGCTGGTTTCTAAGGAGCTGGTAGAAAAGCCAGACCCTATAGGTCTTTCTGTAGCCTTTCTTTGAACCAAGGCTTCCTTGTGGACCTTCATTTGCTTCCAAATATTTAAAGTATATGGCTTGGCACATGTCACACAATGCTCAGGCACTGAGCTAGCCAGTGTGAAGGCAGAGGGAAGGATTAAAGACGATGGCTCTATAGTTTATGTCGATCCTTTCCTGGGCGGTTGCAGGAAGTCTTCACACACCGACCCACACAGAGAAGCAGCCAGCTACAGTTGACAAAAAGGCCTCTGTTAGAAGAGGAAGCAAGCAGGAACTTCTGAAAGCTCTCTTGAGTTCTGCTTGCTTCTACTATGAGTGGTCTTGTATTCAGCTCGGGGAAAATTCTTGTTTCACCTTCAGCCTTTCTTCCAACGCCCCAGCAATCGTTGAAAAGCTGGGGTTTTGCTACCACTTATTCTCTTTTGATTTTTTTCTTTAGTACCTGGGTTTGAACTCAGCTTCACAATTGCTAGGCTGGGGCCCTAATATATGAGTTATGGCTCCAACCCTCCTTTTTTTTTTGCTGGTTATTTTGGAGATGGAGTGTAGTGACTTTTCTGGCCTTGAGCCATGACCCTCTAGATCTCAGCTTCCTGAGTAGCTAGGATTACAGGTGTGAGCCACCAGTGCACAGCCCTCCTTTTGAATAGTTTTCAGACTAAGCAGGTGGTTCCTTTGAGTCTCCTCTGCTCTTCAAAGGCTATTATGACATCCGGGTTGGGATGACTGGGCTTGCCCAGGTGATTTTCTGCTTCTGTAGGCTTTGGTCACTTGGGAAAGTGGATATGGTTACCCAGGAAAATGTCATTTAGCACAATCTGATGTCTAGAGGAAGCTGTCTCCTTCTTTGCTTGTAGCTGAAGTAGACAAAGAGGTTTCAATTAGGCAGGAAAGGCTTCATGTCTCACTGTGGGCCATTCTTTTTTTCTTTCTTTATATTCACAACTCAGCTACCTAGCTTACTTTCTATATGGCAAGATTTCAGGAGGCTTGAAGCCACTGGAAGGTGTGAGCCTCTAGCTCTGTCCAGTTTTAGCTTTGGGATGTTCAGTGTGGGCCAACCCACTGCATCCTCAGACTCTCAACTGGACAGCCTGGCTGGCAGCTCCCTGCAACCTGGGACTTGGGAAGGTGGTTATGCAAAATGAAGCAAGAGTACTCAGGCCTGGTGGCCTGCACCTATAGGCCCAGCTTACAAGGGGGAGGTAGTAGGAAGGGGGAGATGGCTTGAGTGCAGCAGCTCAGGGCCAGCCTAGGCAAGAATGAGATGCCTGAATTTTTAAACAGTGTGCAGTAGGTTCCATGGAAAAGCCTTTTTTTTTTTTTTGCCAGACCTGGGGCTAGAATTCAGGGCCCAGGCACTGTTCCTGTGGTTATGTGCCCAAGGCTAGTGCTCTGCCATTTGAGCCACAGCTCTACTTCCAGCTTTTTGGTGGTTAATTGGAGATAACAATCATGGATCTTCTTGCTCAGGCTGGTTTGGAATTGTGACTTGCAGATCTCAACTTCCTGATTAGCCAGGACTACAGATATGAGCTACTGGCACCTGGCTAGAAAAGCCTTATTTTTTGAAACTAGGCATGAAGAGAGGCTTTGCCAAGGCCTAGAGCTGTCACCGTGCCCACAGCTCGCTCCCATGAGTGCCCATCACTGAGATGCTCAATGGCTTGGCTTGGTGAAGAGATGCAGGAAGGGGATGATGCTGAACCTGTAGCAGTAGGCTAGGCCCAAACCATCAGAAATTTGGCCAAGGTCTTCCTCAGGGGTGGTGTCCTCACCTCAGTGAGGGAAACCTCAGAAGTTAGCTCCCTGGGCAGAGTGGAAGGAGAAAAGCAGCACAGCACCAGGTTTTTCCAAGTGTTAACCATTTATAAATAAGTACATTTGCTTTCGTACATACAGTTCATTGTACAGATGACGCTCTGTATACATGGGGCAGGAAAATGCATTCATTTGAACTTTTCACATCTATCTCACACAGCTCACATGTACAGACAAGAAAACTGCTCAAGCAAGTACAGCAAAGGAAAATGTCTTCCTTATGCACGGGGCTAGAGGCCTCCGCTGGGTGTGGGGCATCCCCACTGCACGAGTTCACGACTGTGTGGTGTTCAATATATCAGGATAGAGAACAAACATGCATTGGATAATATACTGTACAGAGAAAGTCTTTTACATCTGAGTTATAGAAAACCTAAAGGAAAACTAAGTGCATTAAAGCTTTTTCCAGCAAGTGTCTTGAAAGGACAGCAAAGAGGAAGAATCAAAATCATATTAGTACAAATCACTCTTTAATTGTAGACTGCACATGTCTGTACTAATTAAAATCATCTTAGATTTGGAGGAGACAGAACAGAGACACAGATGCTGCACTAGATGGAAAGGAGGCCATGCCTGAGAATGGCACCTGCCCTGAGCCTGACAAGGAACTGGCCCCACTCAGCAGGAATTAGCCAAAGGTAAAAAACAACAAAAAATCAGGACAGGAAGTGTAACTTACAGGAGTTCCAAAATAACCTGTGAAGGAAGCAGAGATCTAGAGCCAGCATCTCTAACTTAAAAAACTTTTTTTTTTCTTTTTCTCCAGCAAATTGGTACACAGTAAGGCAGGTACATTCAAGTACTGAATTTTCCAGAATTAACTCTCTGTCTGGTCCTGGGGACTAAAGGATATGAGTTGAGTCCTAGCCAGATTTTCTGGTTAGTGATTAGTGAAAGACAAATTCAGCCATCAAGTGCTACAAAAACAAGCAGCTAGGTCACTTTTTTTCCACAGAGTAGGTCTGTCTGAAAACAACATTCCCCCCCACTCCCTCCCCCCAGAACCATGCTGGCCTGCATATCCATGCTTCCAGCTGCAACCTGACTGCTCAGCCAAGTGTAGGGATCAGAGTCAGTGGGAGGAAATGATAAGGTAAGGAGACATGAAAGTAACACTTGATTTTTGGTGTCCAATTATACGTTCATTTGGTACTGACTTTCAAAGCTCTGACTGTGACCATCATGTGGCCACAAGCATCTCAGGGTGGTTCAGCTGCTGTGAGGCATTGGACACCGAAATGAAGGTCACCAACACTTCAGCCCTTGAGTGGTCTGTATTACAAAAGGAGTTGATGAAGACCCAGTGATTATTCAAGTAGCTCTGCACAGTGGCTCACCAGCCCCATTGTGCTTGTGTCCAGGCCCCCAGCCAGCCACCTTTCCTTGGGAGCAGCCAGAGCCAAGTTCAAGGCATTGCATGGTGAAGGTTTCCATGACGCTTCTTTGTAGGTAGCTCTTACCCCTAAGCCCTTTGTTCATTGTTAGTCATGGTAGATGGTTGGTCTGGAGTTCCTAGAGGAAAAGGAGAAGCCACACCTTCCAGCAAGCGCGCGCGCAGGGAGGCAGGGCCCTGGGTATGGCGCTTCGAAGGTCGGCTTCTTGAGAAGTGGGCAGCCCAAGGATAGGCAGGCAGGGTGAGTGAGTGAGGCTGCTGAACACTGGGAGCCTCAACAGGAGATGGGCACGGGGGTGGCACATCCTGCTTCCTGGGGGAGCCTGTTCCATTTTGTGGCAAAGATTCAGTGAACTGGTTTTATCCAAGGCATTTCTGCAGTAAAAAAATAACTATCTTTGAAACAAACCACTCGACTATGACTTTTAGAGTTATAAATAAAAGTTGGATGCTGAGAAGAACTGAAAGGAGGGATGCTCATGGGGGAAGAAAAGGGTCCTCCACATACCCACCCATCCACCAGAGCAAGGGAGTTCTATTCAGCCTTCTCCCAGCCTTTACCTGGCTGACGGTTCTAAGCAGGTAGCATTCAGAGTCTGTCTTGCTACAACTGGCAGGGTTGATTGAAGACTCCCTCAGGCCTTAGTCCCCTTCTTCCTGAACCTCACAGTCTATAGGCCTGCCTGCTGCCCTGGATGCAGCCCCTCCAGAGGGGGCATAGCCATTCTTTGCTACCAGACAAGCACGTTGCAGAGCCACAGTGACACCTAGTGGTAAGTACGGTGAAGCACAAGTGACGTCCACATATCCCACTTTATAAGACTAAAGTCTAAGGAAAAATACTTATGGATATTAAATTAGATACTGGTTTTAACTTTTCTATTGGGTACATCTCTGGAATATAAAAATACCAATATTTAGAGGGGAGTTCATAAACTACTATACAATATAAGGATGGAGAACACCTTTGTCTAAGCTGTTCTGTTCACAATAATTTAGGAAAAATGTTTAAGAATAATCCAGGCTTAACTAAAATCAGCCAACTGGTATATCTGGACTACCTGGAACACTGTACATGATTCTAATTAGTGGAATTTTCCTGAGCCATCAAGTTTAAGTTAAACACATCTAAAAAGGGGTACATGGGAGAGGAACAAGAAGGGTTTGTGCTCTATTAACTTGGGACTTTAATAGCGCACATCTACAACCTGGACAGATACAACAGCAGATACAAAATGGTCTCCATTTTGTCCGTGCCAAATTCTCATGTTATATAGGCTTTCCCTTTACTTTGTAAATAAACATTAATTTTAAATTGTTGTGTGCCTTACTGATCCAGTAAATAAAGTAACCATGTCTCAGGAGTCCCTAAGAAAATTGCTGGAAAAGCACTTTAAAATCACTGCAAATATTTTTTAAGTTTTAAAAATTCTTAGTCTTTTTGATGCTTATATACAAGTTATTTCTTGTGCTATAAGTGTACCCACTGCTTGATTTCTTTCTTTTCCTTGTTTTTTTTTCCCTCAAAAATACACTAAGACAAGAGCGATTCTGCTAATTTCTAATGAAGACACTACTCACACTTAAATATCCAGTATTTATCAGTTACAAATTCAAACAGTAAAGTGCACCCATTTTTTAGACATGATGTGATGGAAACCCACTAGTGCAAGAATTCTGAGAAACGGAACACACATTTTGGTGAGAAACCTGTAAGCTGAAGTTTATCACCAGTTTCCATTTCCGGATGATATGAGTTGGGTGAGCAGAACTTGCCAGTTTCATTTGAAAAATTTTCCTCCCACCCAAAGCCAGACATTGATTTGGCAGATGCCTGTTGCTAGGGAAGGGGCGTCTCTAAAATACAGTACTAAGATCGTCCTATGGCAGTGAAGTAGCAAAACAGGGCACAGGCAGTCGGCTCCCAAAAGAAGACTCTGGTCTCCTGCCCCAGGAAGCTCCTGCTGGCGTTTTCTAGTCAAGAACACTGGCACCCAGTCATGATATTCACTCTCTTATGATGGCTAAAAAAGAATCACATTTGACTGCTGATATTTTAGGTGTTTTGCGCAGTGAGGTGGAGATAATAAATCTCATTTTTTTTCTTGGAAAACCCAAAGAGAGACCCTGTAGAGGAGTGATATCAGTGGCGTCATTGTAAGACCAAATGACCTTCCCAAACTACTTGGAGAAGTAAGTGGCGTGCATGACGCTCTAGACAGGTAGGGACCCTTTTCTAGTAGACAGAAGTTCTTTAGAATATAGCAGTGCCCCACTGGGAGATGGTTTGAAAGGGATAAGATACTGAGAGACCAACAGGGCTGAGGCCTTGGGCAGAAGGGGAGCTGAGAAGCCTCAAGTGGGTTCGAAGCTCTACAGGTTAATACTACAGCTAAATCTATCATCTTGCTGATGTGGGAGATGAAAAGACATGATACAGATAGATGGATGGATAAATGGGTGGATGGGTAGGTAGGTCGAGGCCACTGATGCTCACAATGGTGTTGGAGTAGGAGGCAATCCTTATACATCAGAGCGCAAAGTGTCTGGTTCAGTTGAGTCCTGCTCTGCTTTAGGCTTGGGGACGCTGAGGGGTGGGGTCCATCTACTTGATAGAATCTAAATTAGTAAAGAAACATTTCTGGTCTCAGCTTTGTTCCTTTCAGAGAACGTGGAAAGGAGTAGTCAAAAGCTGGATTTTACTCAGGGAACTGCTCTTTCTGTAGCCCTTTATTTACAAGAGCAGAATGATTCCTAAAAACAGAAGACAAATAATGTTCCTTTGTTTAGTTTTAGCTGTTTGTTGGCTTGAGATGCTTAGTTTTAAGAGCTTATGGCCAGTTAGTGCCAGGAACATGCTAAGGCTTTGGTTTCTGCAATTTTGCTATCCATCTCTTAGTGGCCTCAGTCTCTCAAATGTTAGATTAACAAACAACTGTAAGACCCAGATGTATAGACAGTGATGGGAGAAGAGACCTATTGTCTGTCTTGTGCCCCTACCCCCAGCTACAAAACAGAACTGAAAGGGGTTTGTCGTTGCTCCTGAACACTTTGTTGTTTCTCATATTCAAGTATCACCCCAGTGCTCCTACAACAAGACACGATTTCTTTGATAGTAGACAATGAAACTCTAGGTCTACATATGGAATTAGGTAACAACTGGCATGGAAGGGAATGGCCCTAGATGGAAACGCTGGGGAATGTCTTACGGTCCCGAGAGCATCCAGTTAGCTTCCTGAAGAACAACTTTCTTCACAGCTGGGTTTGGAAAAAAAAAAGGGCCAGCAGAACAGAGCTGGATTCCAGTGAAGATGCAGCTAACAGGGTTACTGCATCAGCGGCCATTGGAACAGTTTGTTTTGAAGAATCTGGTATTCAATGATGTTTCCTGATCTAAAAAGGAGACTTATTCCAGTTTCTGTAGCCTTTCAACTGAGATACAGAAAACTCCTATCTTTTTTTCCCTTCTGTCTTTCTATGTATCGGTTCCCTTCTCTACCCCTAGAAAATCAGTAGGTTTTAGGGGTTAGCTGTTAAAAACATGCAGAAAAATTCTTAGTGAATTATTTAAAAATACCCAGAGTTCTCACTGACTTTACTTGGCTGACCAACATTTTTAAAGGGCTGGTTGTTTTCTAAATGGTCTTAAAATGCCTCTTGGAAAATCAATGGAGTGACATTTCAAATAGCTATACTGGGGTTTTCTTTCCATTTAACAGACTTAGTTCTTCTTTTTCTTCTCTCTCTCCTAGATCCTTTTGCCCCATAGGAAGGCCAGCAGCAGTGCAAATCAACCTTCTGGACCTGATGACTGCGGGGAGCTTGCGGTGAGCGGGAGGAGGCCATGACACAGGAATGCACTGGGGTTGGCTATCTGGTAACACTGGATAAGAATGCAAAGGCAAAGGGGCATCACACTCTTTCTAAAGTTCCTAGAAGAAAACGAACAAGAACATCTTACTTTTTAGAAAAAGAAAAAGACATTTATACAACAAGAACATCAATGAAAGCGATTGTCTCCTGGAAAAAGCTGACCAGTGTGTCTGATCTCCCTGGGTTAAAGCACACGGCACAAAAATCTCCTCGTTGGCATTGGAAGAGAGGGAGGGAGAGAGCATGTGGCTAGGGCACAGACAAGAGAAACTGAAGTCCTGGCTCACTGAGGCCAGCTTCCCAGTCGGCTGCATGCAAAGGATTTCAGCATGTGGGCTGCCACCTCTGAACACCACACAGAAACTACATGAGAAATTAAGCCAGAGAACTACCTCAAATGTGGAAACCAAGCCTGAAAATGTGTGCAGTGAAAACATACGGGTCTCACTCCAACAAATGTCTTTTAAACATTAGACTCCACAAATGGTCTCTTTGGTTTGATAGGCGATGTCTGCCCTTGTCGCGAGTCCCGGGACAATTGCCTGTACAGGTTGTCCTGGTATGCCTGAGCCACAGGTAGGGTCCGAGCAACCTTCACATCAGGATAGGAGGAGGCCTGGCTGACTCTCTCCAAGAGGTCTCCACGGGACCCATTAGCCAGCATCCCATGTGGGCTGTAATAATCGTCCTCCAGCAAATGGCCATTTTGTGCATTGTTGGTTTTGTTATAAAAGGCAATGTTACTGATGGATGACGGTGGACTGAAGGACTCGGGTTGAGGCAGGTTGCCTGGAGACGTGGGACTGAGAACGGTATCGACTGATGACACTGCCCAGGTCCGATTCTGCTGGTGAAGGTGGGGGTATTGTTGAGTCCGGGCTGTTTTATCTATGATCCCCATGAATGGTGTGGTCCTGGATCGGGTGGGCTCACTGGGGTAACCTCCCTGAGTGGGAGACACGGGTGACAACTCGTCACATGACCTATCATATGCCGGTTTCAGTGGGATCTCCATTTGTTGAATTGAGGACGAAGGCCGGAAAGTAGGAGTTAGGTTGGAGGTGGAGGAGATGCTATTGCTAGATGGAGAAAAGCGAAGGCCCACACTCTGGGAGTGTAGCAATGGCCTGGGGGTTGGTGGGTGGGGCTTGATTTCACTAGGGTTGACACTTATAGGTCTTCTGATTAAATGAGACACATCAGGGGAACCTAGTTGGCTGGAGGAGCGTTCCAGATCTAGTTTTGAGTGACAGACTGGGTAATAGGATGCGGACTGGCTTCTCCCAATCTGTGGTGTCTGGCTGTATCTCATGCCACCTCGATATGCAGAGGAAGGTCGCTGTGGAAGGTCTTCTTTGGTCAACCCTCCATGTTGACAGATGGCACCCGCACTCAGGCTGGCTTGGACATGCTGCACAGGTCTCCCATCCCCTACGATTCCCCCTATTGACCCTTGATAAACCAACCGGCTCTGACTTACTCCCATATCTCCTTGTGAAGACTGGTATTTACTGGCCATGGAATGGGCTACTTGGCCATAGGCCCCTGTAGGGATGACAGTGCTTGAATGAACTGCTGAGCTGGGCTGGTTACTTCTCACAATCTGGGCCTTGGCGGGCTGCAGCCTGAGCCCTTGCTGGGGAACTGCTACAGGAAGCTGAGGCATCTGGTATGGCCGCTGGGCCATTTTGGATAATGGAGATTTTGGTCTGCCAGGAAGCTGACTAACATTTGTTTCTTGCTGATAGCGCACGGGTGAACCCGACTGGGATCTATAGACACTCATGCTCTCAGCTGGAGGGCTAGCCCGATACTGAGGGCCTCTCCGGAGAGGGGAAGGGGGAGGGCTTGGGTATTCTTTGCTCTGCCCTCCCACAGGAGGGGGGCTGAAACGGTAAGATCCACCCTGATGAGCTGGGGAAGTATGTGGTGGACTAGGCCTGTAGTGAGAGTTCTGGTGAGTTGGAGAAAGAGCAGGCGAGGTGGACTGATATCCCTGCCTAGTAGGGGAACCTACAGAACTATTGGACCGGAAGTCAAAAACCTGATGAGAGCCAAGAGGTGAACTAGAGATGTAGGCTGAATCCCGATGAGCTGGAGAGGAGGGTGGGCTCTGGATTATTGGCAGCCCCTGGCTGGGTCGAGCCTCTGTCTGGAGGCCAATGGAAACATTCTCAGCATCCTGTTCCAGGTACTCCTCCTCAAATATGTCTTGGACAGAGTATATATCTTCATGTTGTGGTTCAGGCTCTGTTTCTTCAGGTAAGTCCTGCTGAGGCTGCTGTGATGGTGGTGGTGGCTGCTGCTGCTGCTGCTGCATCTGTCTACACTCCTCCTCCACTCTTATCAGGAGTCTCTGGATTTCACGGTTGTTTGGACACAGCTTGATGGCCTCGTTCAGATCCTCTAAAGCTGCTGCAAACTGTCTGCTTGACAAAATGCAAACACATAAACTGGAGTTATTCTGAATCAAAAGAAATCACCAAGAGCTAAAACTATGGCCACTATTTCAGAGGTCTGTGGTGGCATCTGTGGGAGTCTGGGGAGGTTAGGTTCTGTTTGATTTGTAAGAAATCAAACAGCAGACTGTCATTCCAGAGCCCAGAATGATTTCCTAGCCCTTTTAGCTTCCATCTTCCTTCTGGCCTCTCTGGGTTTTGTGGAGAAAAATCCCCATTGTGTCAGTCCAGTCAGGCCCTTCGGGAAGATTCTCTGAGTGCCCAAATGTATACCAGCAGCATGAGGGGTATATGGGGTTGTCATTTACAGTGTCACTGTCAAGTAGCATTAGTAGGAATAATGTTTAATAGGAACAATAATTAGTGTAATATTAAAATCTTGCTGATGCAGCAGACATTTTCAAAATATATTCTCAGCATTTTGGCTATAAATGGTAGGCCTGTTCTAGAGAAGAACCTCGTCCTTCCTCTGCCTTTTCTACCTTGTAGCACTGTTGTATCTTATGACACGAGGTCAAAGTCAGGCAGGTATTTAAGCTTGCTGACTAGGTGACTCAGGGCCGAGCTGAGATTCTAATTTGCAAATAAGGAGATGAACTGTCAAGGCAGATTCCCATCCTCTCTGCTAATACTGCCTGGAAAAGGGACAACTGGACTGTGGTAAGGAAAATTTCACAAGAAAACTCAGTAGTCAAGTTTCTGTAAAAATTTTGCTACTTTAGCTAATTAAAACTAATATATCACTTCCATTGTCATCGCTAACCTTATTTTCATGTTTAATTTTTCATGTTATATCCCCTCTAGTCACAGCAGTGAACCCAAAGCAGGCCTTTCCCATTTAGAATCTGAGAGAAGGTGGGGTGCTGGGCAGTTTAAGTCAATGACAGTGACAAGTTACCCAAAGAACAATGACAGAAGATTCTAGGTCTTTCTAGAGGCTTTCATGCCCAGTAGCCAAACTATATTAGATGGGCATATGGATGGTGCCTGGCATTTCTCTTGGGGCCCTCAATACTGGCAGCAGGAGAGTGTGTGTGTGTGTGTGTGTGTGGTGTGTGTGTGCGTGCGTACAGGTGAGGAAGGTTGATGCCACCAGACTTGCGCAGAATCCCATATGGAGAGCTAAATGATCCAGGGAGTAGTCAAATGCCTGTAAGAAAAGAGAGGAGGCTGCAACACTCAGTGACCCATCCTGTTCTTCCCTTTAAAAGGGCTGGTGGGATGTTTCGCTTAAGCAACCTTCTTCTGATATCTGCTTTGCGGTTGAAAAGTGAGACATGGCAGAGTCTTCTTGAAACAAAATGTCATTCTCCATTTTGTCTTTCTACCCAAATAAAGAGCTCTTGTTTCCATAGCTCAGAAGATTTTGATTTTGAGCTAAATACTGTTCTGCTATTGGAGCCACCCCCAAAGCCTGGCTCTAAGTCTTCAAGTACAGACCCATTTGTCCCAAAGTGACCTACATTGCCTTGGCCAAATTTTTAGAGAAGAGACCTCTTGCTTTTCACTCTCTCTCTCTCTCTCTCTCACCTGCTGCTGCGTTTTGCCCTTGCTCTTGCATAGTAAGCTTCATAAGATTTCGGTTTCAGCTCCAGGGCCTTAGTAGCAAATTCCTCCGCCATTCCAAAATCCTGTCATTACAATAGGTGTGCAAATGAGTCATTGAAGAGATATGAAAAATAGACAACTTGGAAATAAAACAAATTATATTTACATTTTTGACATTTATGGATAAAATACCTGGGATTCTGGACATGCCTGACATGGCTTTAACCATGTGATCTACAGACTGAAAATTTCCTGTGCCTTTGCCCTGTGTGGTCTTGAAACCATTTAATGGACTTCATCTATCCAGAGAATTAAAAACCTAATTTGGCTTCTGTTTTTTTGGCCATAATTACTTTTAGCCTAGAAGCCAAATGTCTAGTGTTCCTAGTCAATCTCCTGAAATTGGCATCCTGTACTCTTTCTAGCACATATATGTATGAAGCAAACACAGACACATCTTGTATCGAACACCCTGTTTTATACCCCTTCCCCCCCCCGTTGCACCCTCTAGACCTTGGCTTTTCAAGAATCTAGGAGGAAGGGGTCTGAGGAAAGGTAGACCTCACTGACTATGAAGACTAGATGCACAGGGATGTCACACAGCCTTGGGCTCAATTCTCTGGTCCACTTCATAACTCTTCAGAATGTGCTGGGTATTTTGATATCCATAACTACTTTAGCCGTAGGATTAAGCATAACAAAACGTTAAGTGTCATTTATAGTTCCTGGCACATCACAAGTACTTGATACACTGTATTCTGAATAGCCTTTCCTGACCTGTTTCTCCTCTTGTCTAGTTTCTTACGTAGTAAACATTTGAAATTAAAAAAAAGGAAGGATCTTGGCTCTGACTGGGATCTATGCTGTCACTGGAGATCCTTGGAAGAACATAGTCTCATCTTCCTCTAAGAACCCTCAGGAACAGGTATCAGAGGAGACAATGCTAAGTGAATAGTTTTTTTTCCCCCAGAGCTGAATGAACTCAGGACCTTGCACTTGCTAAGCAAGTTAAATCCCAAACTCCAAGTCCTTTTTTTTTAAATTAACATTCCTTTAAAAAAATAAGCTAAAGGAGGGGCTGGGAAGGTGGCTCAGTGGTAGAGTGCTTGCCTTGCATGCCTGAGGCCCTGGGTTCGATTCCTCAGCACCACATAAGCAAAAAGAAAAA